AGATGGCATATTCTATAGTTTAAATCTCTGAACATTCAGAACTTTACCATTTTTCATTTTGATTCACTATTCTAGTTGTTTTCCTAAACAGAAGTAACAGTTTTGTTTTACTCACTTATCCGTTAAGTGGGTTATAGTTGTGTGTTGTGGTTCCATGTAAGTGACTCGGGTTTGATGTCGCCGGTGTGGACAATTGCCGGTTGTTACGTGTTAATCTTGAGTGTGTGGTGGGCTGTTGGGTGGTTCAGATTGTGGTGGTGGGTGGATTTGAAGATTGGTTGGTTGGTGGAGGACAATATAAGGGAGGAATTGTCACTTGATTTCTCGCATCTAAGTTATTTAGTAGCATTCCATTCTTGAGATCCATTTATTTGATAAACATGTTACTTAAAACTCCGAACAAATTGCAATTTCTTTGTTATAACACTATATATGAGCATTCGTTTTTTTATTTTTACATCAATCTTCTCACATTATAACTAGGTGAGCTAAGGGTGTTTAGTTATGACAAATCTGAAGTGAAAATAGAGTGATACCATACTCTAGTAAGGAATTTGAGGGATTCCTCTAAGGCATGTTAACTACATCTCAGAAAACACCCATGGTTGTTTTGAACTTGGAACTTAGCAATGAAACTAGTAGGTGGAGTTGAGGGTGAGGGCGGGTGGGAGGTGGAGGGTTAAGTATGGGCTTGAGTGTAAAGATGGCTAAAATTCTGTGGGACAATGATGATTTTTTAAATGTCATGTGCATTGGAAATCTCTGAGGCGATTGTTTGGAAGGTTAGGTTGTTTTACTTGTTTATTTCGTTTTGTTCTTTTGTTTCGTTTCGTTTTGCTCGAGGACTAGCAAAAGCTAAGTGTGGGGGAATCTTGAATTAGGAGCATATTTTGCGCCTTAGGTTTAGCTTTGTTCTTGTGCAGTTTATAGTTGTTTTTGCTTAGTAAAGTGGTCTTTTAGCTAGTTTTATGTGATATGTTTTCAGGTTCTAAGGGCAAAATATGAAAAATGATGCATTTTGGAGCTTTTTGGAGCAAAATGAGCTTGGAATGGATGTCATATGCTTGGAGCCAAGAGGATGGACTTAAATTGAAGATATTGAAGATGATGTTTCCTACTTGAAACAAGGTTTCCTAGTCGAGAGTAGGAAAGACCTAAGTGAAGATGGAATCCTAGTTGGAATTAGGATTTCCTAGTCAAAATGGTTTTCCTAGTTGAATTAGGGATTCCCTGAAAGATGAGATTCCTACTTCAAACAAGGTTTCTACTTGAAGAGGAAGTTAAGAATCCAAGAGTGGGCATCGGGAAGTTGCCAGCTGAGCAAAGAGATTTCCAAGTCCAAAGAAGGAAAAGGAATCCAGAATGAAAGAGCAGAATGACAAAGAACAAGGTTTTCCGTAATTCTAATAGGCCAAAGGTTTCCAAGTGCAATGATTGGAGTCGGGCTTATACCCATTTAGGATTACCTTATCTTGTTTCTAAGGATTAAGAACGCTTATCCATCGCTAGTATGCCATCGTAGTTTGACAGTTTAATATCTCATCATAGCATTAGAGCAGTTTCTAAAAAAAGCCCCTCATTACTGTCTAGACCCCCTGCATATACCTGCTCTAAGTGCCCGGGACCACCATGGCCACTTTGCATCCCTTCTATTAGTAAAACTTCTTGGACTTTAGCCTTCTCGAAGCTTGCAAAAGGTGTTGCACAATGCATAAGAAGGACTTATATCCCCCCACCTTATCTTTTCTACTTCCAGTCCGTGCGACCCGTGTAGAGCACGCATACACATCCTTCCCCGTTTCAAAACGAAGTCTGGAATCTGTTTATGACAATGCCAATATATCTTTCCTCTCTGATGGCTGGTTAGAAGGCTCCCTACCTTTCCTTACGGTCGCAAATATTGGCTGATTACCCTAGGGTTTTAAGTGGTATTGACATTGGTGCAGAACGACATTTGTGATGGCCCTTGGCACAGAAGATCAACCAGCATTTTTCCGGATAAGTCTCACTGCATAATTTTAGCTACATAACTCTCAACCCTGTACTAAAAATCAGTTATCTACCTAGTCACCAAAATATCCAGAATTCACTTCTCACGCAAAATTCACAGTTTTGGCAAGCAATTCTAAGCTTCCATTCACTTCTTTTGCCCCGCACTCATATCTATCATCCTCGCATATAGAACCTATTTTAAACCTAATTCACTCCAATTCTCTTACATAGATAACTCCATTGCATCCAATTACACCTCAACGTGTCCTAAAACTAGTACTAGATCAAATTGCTACGCCTCGCGCTACCACACAAGTACGGGGGCAGGAGAAGGTGGTCTAGCTTCATAGCTTCTGGTTGGAAGTGTCATTTGTGCAATCTCAAATCGTCGCGTCGCTGGAATGTCTCGTAATCCAAGTGGCTTATCTTTTTCTCGGTGATTGATGGGGCGAATGGTATGAATTTCATTTGTCATTACTATACTTTGCTTTTTGTAGATTATGATATGAGTTGAACTAATTATACACCTCCTGGTTCTACTCAGGAGGGCGCAATCTCCGCTATCCTTTCTGATACAGTTAATTGCATAAATACCAATGTTTTCATATGCTTTAGCTGTTCATGAATTTGCAAACTTCACTCACATCTACACACTAGACCGTCTTCTTATGAAGCTCTCGTGTGAGTTTTCTACAAAATTCTCGTTTATGTACATAATCCATGTGTAATATTACTCGCAATTTGAGTTTTGGTGGGTTGTACAACGCATGGGTAGTGAGGTTTTGAAGGTGATGACAGAATTGGTAAAAGGCACCTAAATGTATTTTATCATGACGAATAAGTATTTGAATGACTTGCCCGCCGTAGAAGAAAGTTATAACAGGGTAAATTTTCACCGTAAATCAGTTATATGATAATATTATTTCTTCCCAGTAGTTAAAGTTGGGTTACAAGACGAATGATCTCAATCACGTTAAAACTTTATTCGAGTTAAGGCATCACATAGGTTTCATTCTTCAGAAATTCATAGTTATTTCAACAAGTAGCTGATCAGTCTCAATGCATATCTATGTGCCTATTTCGAGATTATGGATACACTCTCTCAATGTGCCTCTTTCTATGGTCTGCATATAGTCGTTATTAACTTATGCATCATGTCAGGGTATTGAAACTCTGCAATATGCATATTAATGGGATGATAGTCTCGGTTTTACTTGGAAAGGCAGGAGATTGATCGTTATTTGCATATTACAGCGCATTACAATAACTAGTAAAAAGAGGCGAAACACTGAATTGGAGGGATATTGAACTCTCACAGTGGAAAAGCCTACATTAAACTTGGAGATATTGGAAGCTAGGAGCAATGTGAAGGGAGAAACTATCAAATGGTTCCTATTGAATAAAACGACGAATACTGGCACAAATCGTTTCGTATATAGCTGCAAGTTTCCCTCTGATTGATAGGTGGAGTAACCATCGTTGTGTGTCGATAGCTATGCCACCCTTCTCTTAGTGCTCGCTCCTGCTCTTCTATTCATTCAACCCATATTAAACACTACCTAAATTGCTGTTTTTACCAATTCCCCTTGTTTAACTAATATGTATCAAAGTTTGGTTTTAGATTTTATTACAAAACAATATCGCTCCAAAAACCAATTCCCCCTTTGTTTTATTATGGGTGCAAGCAATTAATAGTCTCCAGTAAGTGTTTACTTTTCTGTCGATAACTGTTAGCGCTGTTATTTGATTTACAAGGTTAAAAAACCCAGAGATCTCGATACAGAGATAATATTAGAGAGTGACTATTGTATTCCAAAACTATCTCGCACTAGATCTGACTGATTTTCTATATAACAGGAACTTTGGACTGTTACAAATTTTGAAAATGGGCAAGAAAAATTTGTCTAAAATTGTGACGTGGTGTTGTGTGTTCCGTCTAAGTTACTATTTTCTGTGAATTTTTTTTTGAGATAACGTCTCTCGCTCTTAAGAATTTAATAGCAAATTCTCTTCAAATTGGAGGTTTCTATGTTGGCTCGTCGTTTTATTAAAAACTTGTTTTTGGGTATGGGATCACTTATTTATTCATATAAGAGATCACGTTTTGTACAAGTCCAGAATCTTGCAACTCACATCCCTAACACATAATTTCACTCGTCGTTATTTTACCTTATAGAAACAGAACTCACACACAATGAGTGGACTTTACCATACTGGTTCTTTATCTATATGGAGAGTTATTAAAAGACTTGAGAGTTAATTTACGTTTTTTTTTTCCCAAGTGACCTCCCAATCTAATCTTCCACACCATCTTCACCTCTTTTCTGCTCTCCCTGCTCGCCTCCCCATCTTGCATACTCCTTGATTAGAATTTCATATCTCTCTTTTTTCTTTCTCTCTCCCCCTTCTCTTTTTATTTTTTATTTTTTTCGTCTCTCCTCCAATCTGCTCTCTTCATTCTCTCAGTTTTTTCTCTCACTCCTCTTTCTCTCTATCTCCTCCAATCTTCTCACTTCTTTCCTCCAATCATCTCTTACTTTCTTTCCTCCTCTCTCCTCTTTCTCTCTCCACCCCCTTTTTATGGATCTTTTTGTCCAGTTTAAGTTGTAAGATTTAAAAATTTTAAATCGTATACCAAATAAGTTTTTGAGTCTTAAAGAAAAATTGTTTTCAAGAAAAATTCTTAAGAAATGTTTTGAAAAATTATAAAAAATTTCAAATAGAATACCAAACAAGCCCTCAGCTTTTCAAAAGAATCAGAACTGAGGATATTTAACTGATCAAACTGTCCGCAAATTCTAACAGAACCTTGAACTCAATTAGCAACAATACCAGAACCTTCGTCCCTTCTTCTCCAAACAAACTATAAGCACAATCTAGTGATATATGAACAAGCAATAAAGCACTATATGCGGTAAAATAGGTAATACAAACCAATATTAATATAGTATTAGGAAGCTGTTCGGGGGAGGGAGGTAACAGATAAATGCAGGAGTTCAGAATCTTACTTGTCACAAAGCTGAAAATTTCTGCATTGAGTGCAGGACCAACGGTTTCCTGATACCATTAGTATACAACAGTGGGAGCATGCGTACTGCAAATGAACCATGATGAAATCCTCCTTCATTGGCGAAATGGTTTCTCCAAGCTGGGTGAACATAAATACAAAAGTCAGCAAAAAAGAAGAAAAAGATTATCTCAAATTCTTTTTTTTTTAATCAATTGTACAAAAGTGTAATTAAGTCTAATAAAAATCATCCCATTGAACAGCTTTCATATATTAATTTACAAGAAGACTTCAAAGACTAATTCCTTCAATAGAAAACTGACAACTACAAAAATAAATTGAAACCCTTCGGCTTATTAGTGCTAAAACTCTGAATATCTAACAGAAAAATCTACAAAGACTGAAAACAATAATGCAGTTCGAAGACGGTAAGATTACTTTGTGCATTAGTAGCAGATCCTTTGACGCGTTAGCAGAAAGATCAGTCTGACCAGAAGCTTTTAGAGCCCTTTTTGTTATAGTCTTTTTGGTTGATCCTTTCTTATTCTGTTTTCTCCCGTCCTCTTCTTGACGCATCTGATTAATCAGATCCTCGGCTGCACCAGGCCAGTAGTCACCATCAAAATAGGGCAGCCTAGCTGCAGTGACTTTGGCCTTGCATTCAGCAGTAGTTACAAAGAAATGGTCATATAGATTAGTGAGTTCAACAACAATGCCTTCCTTGGCAGCTTTCCTAAGCATTGCCAAATACCTGAAACAAAACAGAGATAATAAAATGTAAGAAACGGGATAGTTGATGCTAGAAATAACTGCAACACAATTCACAAAATTGTATAAGCTCACCATTCACGAAGCTTATCAGATTTTGGTGTTTTCTGAATCTCCGGATGACAATATAGAATATAATCTTCACCCTTCAACGGAGGACAAGCCCATATATAGCAGCTTGTAAACCCTCGTAGCTTGCAATATTCAAGGTATCCAATCTGAAAATGGGAACCATTAACTAAGGATGATGGCTCCAAGGGAACATATCAAATTAAATAAAACACAAATAACACGAATAACAAGATCAATGAAAGCCTAAGACTCACCAAAATTTCATGGTAAACATATGTGCGGAGAGCCTCTCCCGTGACCGCTTTAACCTCAGGCCTGAAATACTTAACAGAATCCAAGTACGATAGATAAACACGGCGCTGATTTGGAAAATGGCTTTCAGCTCCAAATTCTTGAACATACATGCCAAATAGGCATACTTCTACACCTTCAATTTTCTGAAACAACAATACAACCTACAGGGAAATATGTAATTAGCATATCGGAACCCTTCCCTTTTAAAGCTAAAACAATACAGTTTAACCCTTTTTATTATCAGTTAAACTTAATTATCTTCCTACCTTAGATTTATATGGGAACTCTGTTGGATAATTTTCTTCCTGAAAAATTTCAAGGAACCGCTGCTTTACTTCCAATTTTTTGTCAACCGACGAAACAACCCTGATTACAAGCGATTCTGCCCCAGGAACCTAGTGGCACCAGTAAACAGAAAGGAAAAAAATCAGCCAATAATCACATTCAGAGAAAAAACTTTTCCAGTTTTCCATTTTCGAAAGTCACAATACTTGTAAAATCACCAGGAAAAGCATCATGTGGTACTCCATCCCTCATACCACTTCAAATACATAATATTATATAAATCACCTCATCATAACTCTTTCCCTGCTGCCTTGCCCTCTCTTGTCTTTCAACCTTCAGTTTCTTAAATAACCATTGCTCTATGTGGTCACTCAGTATTGTCCTTGGCAAATCTTTGGCCCCCAGAACAGCATTCTGTGGTAAAGGTTTACGCTCTCCCCTTTCAACCTCTTGTATATAACAATTAGGGCAAGTGTATTCGGCTTGCCCACCATCATTCCTTCGGCCATTAAACAAAGCACAAATTTGATGTTGCCAAGCTTCGCATTTGTCACATTGGACCCACTGCATATAAGGAGGTGAAAAGCATAAGATTGACTACCTAGAACAGTCAAACTATCGAACCCAAAAAGAATTGTTCCAGAAAAAAGAACATACCCACTCTTCAGTCTCTTCATCATTTTTCTTCTTCTCTAGCCTTGCCTTTGGAATGTTATTCCCATCAACAACTATCATGTCTCCACGAGCCTCATTATAGCATGGAATACAGAAATAATGTCGTGTGTCACCAGCCCCCATTGTATAGTACATTGCATTGCGCTTGATACGAACACCGCAAGGTGTGCAATATATGGGCGGTGGCTCAAATGTAAGCTTCTCAACTGCACACAACTGACAGGAGTTCTCACTCATTGAATGCTCCATTGCTTGATTCTTCTCTGCCTTTGCTTGCTCTGTGAAAAGAAAAGAAATAAATTAGTCTAAATTCTAAAATCAAACTTCTGGTGAAGCATTCAAACCAGAATATCTGTTTTCCTTGAAAATTATACATGCAAAAAAAGGTAAACGCCAACAAGAAAAAAATTGTTAGAAACATACATTATGACTTATCAGCAGATAAACAAAACCTTTAAAACGGATACTAAAGAATTTTCTTATACTATCAAGAGAGCGAGAGAGAGACCATGTAACCATAAAGTTAAATTAGCATGCAGCAAACTCTGACTCTAAATTTTAAAAGTAGATGATGTAATTAAATTACCTGCAGTGTTTGTAAACATTTTCAACCACCACGTCAAGATAAAAAAGGATAGAAGTTACTTTCCAAAAAAGTGAAGAATCACACAATAGGTATGAGGAAACTAACAGTTAAAGACATGATGCATGTGCCACGAAAACACACAGCAAGAGTACGGAACACACAATAGGCATGAGGAAACTTCCTAAACAGAAAAAGACTTGAGGAAGGGAAAGGAAGAACAGGCTAGAAAGAAACGAAGGGAAAATCTTTACTCAAATTAAAGTATCCAGATCTATGCATGAGAGAACTTGTCCTCTTCAGGAGTACTACTATATATACTGATTTGTGTATCTTGTCCTCTTCAGGCTCTTTACAAAGAACTTGTTTCTTCTATAAATATATTTTGCCAAGATGCAAAACTTTTATAAACAGCAGAAGGATTTATTACAAGTGGATATGAAACCCACCATCTAAAATACTAGCCAAGACCTGAACCCAAACTCATTTTGCAGCTACTAATACATCGAATGAGAATAATACCTAAACTCGTTCGAGATTGATTATCCTCAACCGAATTACACATGTCCAACAAAGTTTCAATTGCGTCATAAATTGACATGTTGATTTACCTACAATAGTGAAACTAATAGAACACAGAGAAAGAAACTAACAGAATACGGAGAAAGGTTGAATGAGTTCATCCATTGACTAACCTGGCCAACCCACTGCCTGAGACCTGTAATGTGGGCCCTAACTTGCTCCGGAGTGAACAGTTCAGTCATTGATACCCCCTTTATTTTAGGCTTCCCAGACTTTGTTCCAGCTGCATTTTCCACAGTATGCGTAGCATTTTCTTGTTTAGCTGGATAAGTTTCATTCTCAAGTTTTATGTTTTCTTGCTTAGCTAAACCAGCGGGCTCATTATATGAGACAGGTTCACCTTCATGCCTTTGATTGCAGTTATCCTCAACAATATCCTTCATCTCATCAACACTCCGTTGTCCAGAACTTGAAGGAACCTCCATTTTCACTTTTGCAACCTCGGACTTGACTGGCATAGAAATCTCACCATGTTGGTAATCCTGAATCTGTATATCCTGGGGTACATGGGGTTCAATAATCGCAGAAACTTTTACTGCAGAACTAACACTATCGGAAAGAACAGGTTGAGAGGACTGCTCTATCTTCATGCGTTTTATAGAAAGTTGCATATCTTCAGAAGTTTCAACAGCCGGATTTGTCTTCAAAACCAATCTAGCTGAAGCGTCTTCACTATCATAGGCTTTACATGATCCATTTATTGAATTCTGCAAACCAGAATCAGAAACTAGATGATTGTGTGCCTTATTTGGATGTCTCAGCAGATAATTCCTCACAGGCGAGCAAACAGGGCAAGCTGGGTCCTTGCAAGTCTTGTTATGATGAACCAATTTCTTGGTAACATGACAACGAGGATGTGGGCATTGAGGTAAATTGCATGTTACCATGTGCTTTAACAATTGTTGAACAGTTACACAATTACGTTCGCGACATTTCCCTTCATGGGCTGAACAACGCCGAGCATGGCGCAAGAACAAAAGCCATCTCTGTTGATTTTTGAACTGTTTCTCCTGATTGCCATTAGAAGATCCAAAAACAGCACTAGATGAATTGGGGGGACGAGATGTGCTTCTAGGTGAAATTGTTTGAACAGCATTTGGTCCTTCTGAAGACAAATTAACAAGCGCACTAACCATGCTGAAACTTTTGATCTCCATGATGTAGATCTGTTAAACAAACTATGCCCCTATAAGTTATAGTTATAGCTATAATGCTTGTGAATTCTATTCAAATCACTAATTCATGTGTTGGTAAAGTAAAAAATGTCGAACATTAATAAGCTTGATTTCATCGCTTTGGAGGTATTTGGAAGAAACTACCTCAAGTGGATTCATGATGTGAAACTCCACCACAATGCAAAGGATATTAATTCAACCATCTAAGCTGAGAATGAGGCAATTGAAGCTATGAAGGCGACTGCAACGATCTTTGTCCGCCGCCACATGCATGTTGCATTACAGATGAATATATGGCAAAAAAAAACCCTCAAACTCAAACTCTCTGGCAAGCATTAGCTAATCGTTTGGTCACCAGAAGTTGATCACTTTGCCTGAAGCTAGGCACGATTGGATTAATCTAAGATTATAGGATTATAAGCCTATGAATGATTATAACTCTGAAATATACAGAATCTGATCATTGCTCAAGTATTGTGAAATTGAGTTTACTGAAGAGGATCTTATGGAAAAGACCTACTCAACCTTCAATGTTACAAATATCTTTTTCCAATTGATCAGGTTGTTGAGGCTTCGCATGTACACTTTGCTGTGCACCATGCATATTTGACTGACTATTCACAAGGGGAGAGATGGCCTTGGACACGGGTATTGAACTGACTGAATTCAAATTCTGAGGATTCAACATTGACCCAACAGATGTCGCAGCACCATAGTAGTTTCCAGGCACAAAAGAATCAGCATTGCTCATTCCATAGCTATCACCTAGTAAATACATGATTCATTGGTCAAACATTTACCTATTTTATGATATACTACTCAAATAAAGTCATAACCTTCGAGTGTATAGGTAGAGTGATAGACAGAGTAGATTCATGATATGAATCTATACTAGACATGTACATATGTGCATGCACACCAAAAAAGCTAGAGCATACCTTGCATTACCGGCCGCTGATGTTGGTCAAAGTGCTGTTGTAATGGTTTGGAAGAGTTAGCATAGGGTGTTGAGGTCACATAGCCCTCAGAAGTACCAGACTCATTAACCACTGGTAAACTGTTCCCAAATCCCAACCCACCATTTAGAGCCCCATTTGGCAACCCATAAGACTTCTGCAGCATGCCATACCTTATTCCAGTATTTATTTGGCTGCCAAGGCTATGAAGTATACGGCTATTTTGACCACCAATATGCTGCTGTTGCTGTTGTGGTTGTGTTACCATTAAAGAATCAACAGTACAGAACCCACCTCCATTATTAGAAGAATCCAAATTCATGTAAGACTGATTATTACTGCTATTAAACCCAGGGGTAGGAATCATTTGGCTAGCCATTCTTTGCACACCCATTGATGATATGTTCCCTCCAGCACCAACAGACAAACTGGCAGGAGACTGCTGATAACCATTTAGATATAGAACCTACAAAAAAAAAAAAAAAAAAAACTTGTAACAGTGGTTTGAAGAATCAGTTTGAGTAATTTAGGGAAAAGATGATACAACTCAGTTTACCATCAGATCTATTGAACGAGCCGCCATGTAAGGCACCAGTGGGCACCAAGTTTCCTGTGTTGACTGTCATAGGCGCTATGCCAGTACTTCCTCTAGTGGTGTTCATAGAAGCATCCATAGAAGAAGTAACAATCATATTTGAATTCCCACTGTGTGACATACCAGGAGTTGGTATCATCATACCAGCAGGAGAGGAAGAATTAACAGCCTGTTGAAACTGTTGGCTTTGATTTGGGGGTCGCTTAATCAAATTGTGCAAACGACTCTCTAACGTTTCCAGGTTCATATAGTCGTCCTGACATAGGATTTGCAAACAACAGAATCATAAGCCTACTAAGACGATATCCATTTCATACACAATAAGAATAAGATCAAGCAAGAACATTATCGCTAGATACATGTATAGTGAGCTTCAATAGCTGTCAAGAAATCAAAAGGTTAACCAGCATACTTGACTTCAGAATTAATGTCAAAAAATAATAATTTAATAAACACAACATAAAAATTTTAGCTATTTCAAGAACACTGAGAAAAGAGAGAAAAAAAATTTGCCTAAATAGGCTAAAGGGGAAAGTGAATAGAGAAACAATAAAAAAAATAAAATGAGAAACCTTGTCCTGAGAACTTTTCAATAAACCCTCATCCAATTTTTTAACAATCTCCCTAAACTTCCTGTCATTCATTGGCTGGCGAAGTTTTCGCTGCCGTATAATTTGCCATCTGAAAAAAACAATGGTAGCATCAGTATTTAGGTAAACAATTGCTCAAACATAAAAAGAATAATCCTATATCTCTACTAACTAATAAAACACTCATTGTCAACCAAAATCCTATGAAATTACCAATTTAACCCTCTAATTATAACAGAACATGAATAAGAAATATGGGGCAGAAATGTAATTTCACACAACCAAATTTTGCTCTTTTTTTTTTTTCAAAGCCTCACCTACATGTAATCCTAACATATCTCTAAACAAAAAAAATAAATAAATAAATAAACTTCCCAGTCCCACATTCTCTATCACTCTCTTTCTCTCTCCTTCTATTTCAAAAACAAAAATAAAAATTTTTCTCACACATTTTGTGTGTGCGATGCTAGTATGAATTAACAAAGGTACATGCTAGAACAACTATATCATGTTTAAAAAAAAAAGGTAGTGCTATTCACACACCCATTTTTACCTCCCACACACCCTTGTTAAATTTTGTCCATTCATCTTCTTCAATTATATATAAAAAGAGAACCAAAACGCAAAAAGCAAAAGAATAGTTTCTTCATATAAATAAAAAAGTTAATGTCAGTTGATTTTAAAACATGTCTTTTGATTCCATACGGAGGTAAGCAATATCAATTCTACATAGCAACAATTAATAAGGAATAGCATACTTTGCAAAAACGAACAAATAACAAACAAGTAAGCTGAGACATGTTAACAAGCAACTTACTGCCCATATAATAATGATAGAACACCGAAGGGAAATGCATCTTACATTCTATCCTGCACAATTTGGCGTGCATTGAGAAGTTCAGGATCCATGTTGGACATAACACGAGCAGGCCCACCTAAATTTTGCATTTGGGGAGCAAGGGCATTTCCATTATGTTGAGAATATCGCGTTTAAGAATGGGAAAAACAAACAACCAAGATAAATAACACCAAGAAATTACGTGGTTCGGCAATATGTGCCTACGTCCACGGGACAACAACAACAATCTTTCACTATATCAATAATGAGTACAACCAATAATCTTGCCAAATTTCTAGAACTAGGACTTGACGAAAAACCTGAAAGAACAAGAACAAGAAATACACTATCTCTCTTTTCTTTTCTCTCGCACACTTATTGTTTTGCTCCCTCCTCAAAACTAGTACAAAAGCCCCTTTATATAGACATAATAAAGGTCTTATTCAATAGGGATTATTAATCCTCATTGGAATCTAGTTATGAATCCTACCACTCCAATTGGGTAAACAACTTCAATTGGGAAAACAACTCCAATTGGGAAAACAATTTAATCCTCTAAGACTATTAATTCCCAATAGACTACTAATCATGGGCTGGAAAAAACCCAACAATCTCCCCCTCCAGACCATGAGGAAGGTATACCATAATAGGATTGCTCCTCTTGACCAAACTCCCATTGATCGAACTTTTCATGACCAGACTCCCCCTGATCGAATTACCCATAACCAAGCTCCCCTTGATTGAACTACTCATTAACCAAGACCCTCTTGATTAGATTTCTCTTGACCAGGCTCCCCCTGATCGCAACACCCATCGTCATTGGCAAAGGCAATTATAGACTTCTTTGCCAGAAAACATCGCTTATCTTCATCTTGGTCCAATCAGCATCAGACATACTTGCTGGCTTGCTCTTAACACCTTCAGTAAAGCATGTCCTCCTCTTGATTTCCACATAACCCAATTAAAGCAGGTTGCACCCTCCATTCTAAACAGATATCAGCCGAACCAGGCTCTGATACCACTTGTTGAGAATATCGCGTTTAAGAATGGGAAAAACAAATAACCAAGATAAATAACACCAAGAAATTACGTGGTTCGGCAATATGTGCCTACGTCCACGGGGCAACAACAACAATCTTTCACTATATCAATAATGAGTACAACCAATAATCTTGCCAAATCTCTAGAACTAGGACTTGACGAAAAACCTGAAAGAACAAGAACAAGAAATACACTATCTCTCTTTTCTTTTCTCTCGCACACTTATTGTTTTGCTCCCTCCTCAAAACTAGTACAAAAGCCCCTTTATATAGACATAATAAAGGTCTTCTTCAATAGGGATTATTAATCCTAATTGGAATCTAGTTATGAATCCTACTCCAATTGAGAAACTAACTCCAATTGGGTAAACAACTTCAATTGGGAAAACAACTCCAATTGGGAAAACAATTTAATCCTCTAAGACTATTAATTCCCAATAGACTACTAATCATGGGCTGGAAAAAACCCAATGGGAGAGCACAGGCATCTGAGATCCTGCCTGAATGGGCACTTGCCCCAATATCGGTCCTGAAGTGTGTGTCTGCACATTCATCTCCTTTATCCTTCACCACGCTGACTGTAACTAGCAAGTACCACATAACTTAAAAACAAAACCTTTAGAACTGCACTGCCAACTCATGCTTAGCCATAATAAACTCCCTCCATACTGTACATACAGTGAGAAAACAAAAATAAAAAATCAAGAGTCTACTTAAGTAGGAGAAATAGCACAGACAAAAAAACTAGTAGCGGGGAGGAACAAACATAATTACAACATGATGAGCACATTTTGTTTCAATAAGAAACCATTCAAAAATGCAAGTGATTTAACGAGAATCGCTTGCATTTTTCACTTAAACTTTTACTACTTGGGGCTTTTGGTAGCAGGAAACCAAGTAAAAAAATTAAATTGGGCGAGTGCGAATACAGTGGAAAACAATTCAGAAAAATGTGAATCAAATTAGTAAACCAATAACAAATCTTTGAAAATGACATTGACTTTAAGCAAAATCGACCGCCATTTTCACGCAGTCATTGCGAATTTCGCTTACTACAATTGAACATCCTAAAGCAGTCAGATAATGAACTTGTAAGAAATGAATAATACAATCAATCAGCCAAGGGGGAAATTGGGGCCAGGGAAGATTGCAACCCAAACATATGCAATCAAAGGGGCAATTGAGCAATTCAACAATCAACAAATACAAGTTGAATTCCCAATTTCACAATAATCAACCCAATCATACTCAATCAAATCAAATCAAAGATCGAAGCAAACCCTAGCTGCGAGCGAACCTGAAAGATAAGCGATCGGAGATCAAAATTGATAGAGGGCTTTAATAAAGCACGACCAGTACAATCGGCGATGCGAGATAAAGAGAGAAAGAGCGACGAATAGGGATTGGGTTTGAGAGAGAGAGAGAGAGAGAGAGAGAGAGAGAGAGAGAGAGAGAGTTGGTTCGCACCGTCTCCCCCAAATTATATACCGCACGTGCGAATTGACACGAAGCCGAAAAGGGGTCGAAATCGAAAGCGAAATTACGGCGAAAGAGGAAGGAGGAGGAGGAGGAGAAGAAGGAAGAAGAAAGCGAGAGGCACTCGAAATTTTGGGGCTTTTTGGGGCTCAAATCTCAATTGCTCAATTGGGGGTTAATTTGCTGAGAAATTATTCTAATTCCAAAATTTAATTCACCAAAAATTTATGTTTATGATTTAATTACCAAAATAATTGAATTAATGACACAAACAGGGACGACAAGAGAGACGCAGATAGGTTTTTTTTTTTTTTATTTAATACATTGATATTTTTACATTAAGGAGAAAATGAGTTCAGTAAAGTTACATAATAGATAACACCAGATTCAAACTTAAGATCTCTCACTTTTAAGTGAAGAAGATTATAATCAGACCGTAGTATTGAAACGCAAATAAATTTAGATAAAGAGAGGAAATGGGTGTTTTTATAGTGTACTCCATCGAACTAAGCTATGATTGACATAAGTGCCCCTTTTTTCATCCGCATTTTCATAAAAAATAATATGTTATCCTTTCATTTTTATTTCTTTTATGATCTTTCACTCTGTATATTTTTCTTCTCAATATTAGGAGATGGTCCTCGTTCTTCCCACTTCTAAAACTATGAGTATAAGAAATTTTTTTTTAGGAAAAAAAACAAATTCAAAAAGCAACTGAAATTTTAAAGACAATTTATAAGCATAACTGCATGCTTAGCATGTGTAACTGTGTACCTAAGCGCGCAGTTATGCGCATGTAAGCTCAGGGAGGTTAATAAGTATAACAATAAATAATAAGTTTATATATTTGGAAAGATTTGAATTCATTCACAATAATAATTCATCTCACATTTCATCCTCATAAACAGAGGAACTGATTTCAATTGTGATAATAACGATATGTTTATCCATACTAGAACGTGTACTGAAATGATTATGAATGCTTACTTCCATTGTGTTTAATTTTAGTTCTTGCTTCCATTGTGTTAATAATACTGTTATAATTATTATGATTCCTAACTTATTGCTTCCATTGTGTTAATAATACGATGAGGCTGGCAACTCCAATGAAAGAGAGGTTCTCTCAAAGATTTAGCTGGAAGATATCGAACAATATAGACCCTACTTTGAAAGGAGTCTACCGAATGACACTTGACATCTTCGAATGTGGTACACCGAAAAGGCATGCATTGGATTGGTAGAGATGTAATGAAAGATATGCCCTGGTCAACAAAGAAGTACCAATCAGAGTGTCTTGCTTCAACAGGAGCCTATCGAATCACACTCACAGTTTCAGCTGGGATGTATCAAACTTGATCTTTCTAAGGAAAGGTACCAAACAAACCCTCCAATTTCGGCTAGAATTTTCCAAACCCTATCTGGTTTGTCCACCTTTTGATTTTGGAATGTGCTTGAAGTTCACACATACCTGTGTCCAGATACTTAGGCCTTAAAGCACAAATATACTCAATGACGAGTCTGGAAGACTCCCCACACGTAAGAGTTGGAAGTTTTCTTTACGTGCTTTCATATAATGTTTCAATGTTACATCTGTTTTGTGTTTTATATTGCATATGTACCTGTGTGTACTGTTCAGGGCCATCTCTTAGAATTTGGGAGTCATGTGCGAGAATTTTAAATGGGGCCTTCTTTAATATAATCTTTTGAGAAAATATTAATTTTGTTTTAGACACTGTACAAGGGAAATGATAAACACACACCCTTTTAGCTTCTCATACACCTACGTTTAATCTTGTCCGCTGTTTTTGTTTGATTTATTTAATTCGATGCCCAAAAATAAAAAGAGTGTCTGATGAGCTTAAAACGGTGTGTGAAAATCACATGCCAATAAACAAATCTATTATTAAAACTAAAACTCATCATCAATTAAGAAACACTCTAGTCAAATTCATAATAGCAGTAAAAAAACATAAAACACCTAAATTTACTTTGCCAATTCAATCAACAATCACATTATAATATATGTTAAATGCCTTACATGAATCAAATTGTTAGCACTTGAATCCAAGTAATTGAATGATCTCATTTACTTGAGGATTTACTTAAAGCGGTATTATGAGTTATGGACATATGAGAGGAACTAATCCAATATTCTTTCCCTATTAGACTATTTTCTATTTATTTATTATTGAAGAAATGTTATATCGTAATATCTATGGGTTGCAAAAACATTGGTGGCCTGTTCAATTGGGGCATGTGCAATGGCTCATATTGCTCTTCCTTAAAGCTGACAATGATTCCCATATGATTGTTATAAATACATGTTGAGTGAACCTGAGGTTCATTCCAATCTTGAAACCAAAGTTTTCGAGCATTGCCATTGAAAAACCCAGGGTTTTTCTAAAGAAGCGCACTAACCATGCTGAGAACTTTTGATCTCCATGATGTAGATCTGTTAAACAAACTATGCCCCTATAAGTTATAGTTATAGCTATAATGGTTGTGAATTCTATTCAAATCACTAATTCATGTGTTGGTAAAGTACAAAATGTCGAACATTACTAAGCTTGATTTCATTGCTTTGAAGGTATTTGGAAGAAACTACCTCAAGTGGATTCATGATGTGACACTCCACCATATTGCAAAGGTTATTAAAGCAACCATCTAAGCTGAGAACGAGGTAATTGAAGCTAAGAAGGCGGCTGTAACGATCTTTATCCGCCGCCACATGCATGTTGCAGTACAGATGAATATATGGCGAAAGAAAACCCTCAAACTCAAACTCTCTGGCAAGCTGTTGACCCTAAAAACTACCAAGCCTACGTGGCGCGCAGGCCGAGTAATTTATGAGCTAACTACGTCCTTCAGTTGAATGCAGGACGTGCCAACTCGTCGGCCGAGGAGTAAAATATGCTGATGTGGTGATGAGTGCGCGGCCGACTTCTGCGTCTTGCGATTGCGACCGAGGAAGGAACACGTCTCGGCCTCTTGGGATCTCGAACCTGAAGACAAGGCTACTATTCTTACGAAGTTCACAAATTGTCGTCGTCGGATTCGGTCACAGTGATGGTGTTCGTCAGAGTAAACTCACTCCGAATCGACACCAAAGTGTAAGGACACAAATACTCAAAGCGGATATATGTCTTAACAATAAACGTGGTTCGGCCACCGGAATGCCGAACTTTAAATCCCATTTGAGAGTATCCAATCATAAACTAACTCGGCGTGCAATGTGCCGAGCCAAATAAACTGTAACACCTCACTTCGCCGAGAGGGCTAATGAGATAACCTCGACCAATAAGGATTCAGAAATCCTTTTCGACCAAGACTTGGATAGATAACCAGTTACCCTCGACGCAGTGCTATCTATGCCGACTGAAGATGATGTGAGATCAGCTGGTTCTACGGTGACAATGCTATCTATGCCGACTGAAGATATCACCGGTTGCCTTCACAGTGCTGTTTATCCAAACTGAAGGTGTGTCGGCGAAAAAAGAAAAGGAAAAAGTCTCAAGGTTGTTGAGAGAATTTGGGCAGGGCAATTGTGTGTTGAATTGAAGGGGCTTTGAACGATGCACATCCTCCTTTATTTATAGCATCAGATATTTTCTAGATCGAGTTAAAACCTTACTCGGATTAGGATTTCTTATTCTAATCAAACACTATCTCGACCAGTCCTATTTTCACTATGACTTTGAACCCAGTGCTTTATCAAGCCGGATTCACTTCCGGGTTATCGATATTCATATCCTGCCGAGACTCCTTATTGCGCCAGGATTCAATTACTCGTCTCGCAGCATGACTTAGCCGACCTAGGTTAGGAAGCCCATGAACTAGACGATCCACGGTAACCTTTTCGTAAGGCCTTCCGGGCCGAGAATAAATCTCGGCACAAACCAATATTTTGGGCCCAAACACAAGCATTAGCTAATTGTTTGGTCACCAGAAGTTGATTACTTTGCCTGAAGCTAGGCACGATTGGATTAATATGAGATTATATGATTATAAGTCTATGAATGATTATAACTCTTAAATATACAGAATTTGATCATTGCTCAAGTATTGTGAAATTGAGTTTACTGAAGAGGATCTTATGGAAAAGACCTACTCAACCTTCAATGTTACAAATATTGTTTTGTAACAACAATATCGAGCACAAAAGTTTACTAAATTCTCGAATATCATATATGTCTTGTTGATTGCTGAAACGAACAATCAACTGCTAATGAAGAATCATCAATTTTGACCCACTGGCACTAGAGTTGATCCGGAAGCACATGCAATTGCTTTACATAATTATAAATGCCATCAAAGGTAGAGACAACACAGCAAGGACCTCAAATCCAAGCTTGGGGAGGGGGGGGCAGGGAGACATAACTCCAGCTAGAAGAGACGAGATGATCGTAGGCATGATTCATTTGCTCTCAAAGCCCAAGAGCTTCAAAAGTAAACATAAAACTGCCAAAAATCCTCCCAACCTTGACATGTGCTACCATTATAGGTCGCCGTACCACTGGGCTCATGTGTGTCATGTTCCTAAGAAGGTCATGGAGGACTATCACGCAAAGAAGAAAGATAGAGTGGCTAACTTCACAAAAGACAAACTATGCCCAAGTCGAGAATCATGCAAATACAACATTGAAGACATTTGACATCTAAAGTTAGTGGGGAGTGCTCGAAGTTGTGTAGTTAGGACATAGAGCTAGGGCCCTTTTTGGTTAAATTTGTGAACAAGTTTATGTTTCTGGATTTTGATTTGGTGATTGTTTCCTTTGGTTTTAAGTTTGGATATATGAATGAATGTATGTTTTCTCGAATATGTGATCGATTGAATATCAAGTTTTAATTTCTTATTCATGTGACATATTCAATTAATTTATCTTTAGATGTGTGTTTAGGCAAGTTTGTTATTTGGTTGATAGTCTATGACGCATACAATAGTGTCTGAGCATAAGTACTTTACTAACTTTATACCTAAGTTGACACCTTTGACAATGCTCTCAGGTACATCTAACCTGATTTAGGGACATGACACTGTGCTCCTAAGGTTGTCCAATGGTATTTAATTCACCATTAAAGAGGTCTTATATTTTCCTCGTTTTGGAAGAACGTTGTAAAGCTTTAAGGATATTCGAGATAACGCTTATCACGCTGCAACCACTAACAAGAATGGAGTGGATTATCTTTGCATAACTTT